GCCTCGGCAGAGATGGATGCCGATGACCAGGTCCTTGGGCCGCTTCGAGATGGCGCGGTTGATGAGGTCGGCGTACTGGCGCGTCAGCTTGTCCGGGTCGTCGCCGTGGCGCTTGGCGGCTTCCTCGCGCATGCCCTGGTCGCACAGGTAGGCCAGGTTTGTGTCGTCGAGCTGCACGAAGCGGCAGCCGGCAGCGTACAGGTCGGCCAGCTCCTCCTGGTAGACGCGCACGACGTCGTCGAAGAAGGGCTCCAGGGTTGGGTACGCCTCGCTGGAAATCGCATCACGGCCACCACGGAAGTGCACCATGGTAGGCGACGGAATGCAGACCTTCGCTGTGACGGTCCTGTCTCCCTTGTACTTGGCGATCTGCTCCTCGATGAACTTGTAATCGTCGACCTGGATCGCCTTGGGATGGCCCAGCTTGCCGACGACAACGACCCTGGGCGGAGTCATGCCGTGTGTCGTGACGTTGGTCGACGACATGCCACCCTGACGCTCGACGCCGGCAAGGTGCTGCAGGAAGTCGAGGTGGAAGAACTCGCGGCGGAACTCGCCGTCGGTCACACTCGAGATGCCATTCTCAATCTGGCGCTGCACAACAGTGGCGATGTGCTTGTCCTCTAGCTTGCGCAGCTCCTCGGCCGAGATCTCCTTTGTGTCTAGCCTCGCGCGGGCGGCGAGGACCTCCTTGGGACGGAGGAAGGATCCGACATGGTCGGCGCGGTAGACACCTTTTGGGAGGGGCATGATTCTGTCTTTTCTGAGCGTGAAAGGGGTGACGTATGTGCTGCGTGGGTCTGTTGTACGACGGTTTGACGGAGGCGTCACACTTTACCGTCGAAGATGCAGGTACCCTGAGCTATATAGTGGTACATGATAACTTTTACCCGGTCCCGCGGCGTGGACGGAGCCTCGGAGATCTTGTCCGTCTTTCCTGTTCCAACTGTGGAAGCCAAGTGGGCGGCATGACGGCGCTTGGGGGTTGAAAATAGGGAGACGTGGAACAGAAAGCTTTTCTGGCGGGACGCTGTTCGACATGTCTTTTTCAGATTGAGCAATCACAGGCTGCGCTTGCTGGAAAAGGTGCGGGGTAGTGAACCCCTCCAAGCTTCTTAGCTCCTCGAGACCTGCCGGCACTGCTTGAGCTTGCCTCGGACCAACCATCATCGCTCATCAAACCCACTGAAGCGTCCACTAGCCGTCCAGTTTTAAGGGTCCCGTTGGTGGCGGAGACCAGAAGGATCTTAGCGAGCTGCAAGTCAGCGCAATGGATCGATCGTATCTGCAGATGGACACTTGACTTGGATCATTGACCTGAATTCCGAAATGACAGTGTCTCCGGCATAGCATCATCTCATTAATCATTATTGTGGCTTGACCTGGCCAAACAGGATACTCACTCAGTACCGTATGTGCGTCTAGAATGCCTTTCGCTCTCTCGTGGATGCGCCTTATGATGCAAATCTAAAGTCTAAGCGTTTGTTGCCAGCATCATGCGTCTTCGCCAGATAATCCAACTTGTCGTCTTCGGTCATGCGGTTCCATGTCCGCTCACGATACCTGTTCCGTGCCCCGTAGTAGAGCTTCGTAAGGGCATAGAGCGCAATATTCAGGATGGCAACGCCGATCAGCACCGAATTACCGCGGGTATATTTAGGGGCGTCATCCTCCCGGTATATGTTTGCTGCGATGATGCCACCGCTGCTTTGAGTGTCAGTATAGAATAGCATCCAGGCAGGGTCATAGTGGTCATGACTTACGCCTGAACGCACATGTTGTACATGGCTGCTCCGACAGTTCGACTCCTGACCGTGTTTGCGTTGCGTGAAGCCCACCCGACCTGAATGGGATGGGAATAAGGATTGCCCAAAAACACCGTCATGACACCCCAGACGGTCCATTTCGATATGGCAGATGTGTCCACCGTCCGCAACCAGATGAGAAACGGCAGGGCCCAGACCTGGGGGATAGCGGCAACGAAAGCCAGCTGTCCCAGCAGCTCGCCCAAGTAGGTTAGGATGACCATGTTCGTGACGTGAAGCAGCTGCGATGGGACGACGAGCAGGTTGGTCTGAAATGTCGAAAACCCTAGGTCCTTCAACGATAGTGTGAGGTAGATGTTGGGAGTCGCAAAGGGGATGTGGTTGGTCAGCCCTATGATGTAGATCGGCCACAGGTCGTAGTCCATCAAGCTACGCCAGAGTAGTTTGAAGCTGATGGCCTCGCGGTTGTGCATGTTTCCCTTCGACGGATCGTCACGGATGACTCTGTTCACTATGATTGTCTCCTCCCTGAACAATGTTAGAACACGATTATAGGCCTGGGGCCTGCAGAGATGGTTGTGTGTTTAGGCGACATACCGAGGAGTAAACCATCCTTTTTTCCCTCTAAGCCACCCAGAAGTTTGTGTCGGGCCAGCCGGCATCATACCGAATGACGTGATGCCCAGAAACATGGTTACCAGGCCCTGAATATGTTAGTCGTCCGGGCCATTCAGCAAGTGCATTCCACCAGGACTAACCTCAACCAAAAAGAGCCATCTCCACCCGGACAAGCCCAGAATGCCTCTCATATGGATCAGCGCATAGGCCGAGATAGCTGCGACAACATCGGCAATGACAATGGCGGCCCAGAAGAAACCGAGTCTGATGGTGAGCTCGTGATGCTTGTAGAAGTATGAGAGATAGAGGACGACATCCGGGATGAAACCGCCTTGTAGGAGCCCCAACAAGGACCGATAGACGAGAAATGAAGTTCGGCTCGCGATCTGATACTGGCTCGACGCCACGATCGACCACAAGACCATCTGCGTCGGTATCCACCGATCAGGACCAACCCATTTGCTGACGAGCTGCGATGGAACCTCGGCGCAAAGAAATGAGAAGGCGAAGATGGAGTTTCCGAGGTTGTAGTCTGAACAGGGTCAGTGGCTAGCAACGTCATGGGGTATGATCAGATAGCCGCGCGTCGGGACACCAACCGTTCGTGCTCATGCCGAGTTCCTCTAGGAGATTGTCCGTCACAGCTTGCCGAATATTGGCTCGGTCCATTTCCAAAGCGCAAAACATTATGCATGCCCATATCATAATCCGGAAGTCGATCTTTCTCACGACCTTTCGTTCTTCAGCCCATGTCCACCGAGCATTCGGATCGAACCGGTGGATATTCTCCCTGCATTGCCGTGGAATCAGCGTCCGTAATACCCATCTGGTGCCTAGTCCCAGGAGGTTGAAGGCCTTGGTTGATGAGGGAGGGGATCGAACCAGTCTGCATGCGGCCGGTACTGCTCCGCCAACTCGAGGTCGTCATATACGCTGGGCTACGGACGGTCAACTTCGTGTCCATCGGTTTATGAACGGGAAGCAATGTCACCTGAGTAGCAATGGCATCCGGGTCCGAGGCCTTTACTCGACTCCACCAGAACCTGCGGCGCACTTCGGGGGCCCCGAGTGCCCGACCCGTGGTGCCGATCAGGGCCGTTGTGACATCGACAGGCTCTTTGTCGGACCCGGCATCCGATGCAGCGTCGAAATCCCGAGCGTGTGGCTTGAACTCGACCAAGCTAGCCATTGTTAGCAAATAACCGCTCGAGAAGAGTTCGAGTTGGAGTGGGAAATGTGCGACCAAAACACTTTGCCGTACTTTATAGCTGGCTCGCTGCCACTGGCCATCCCCAGGTCCCAATCCTCCTCCGCAGCACGTGGAGTTGACGCCATTTAAGGGTGAGATAAGCCTCCCAACGGGTTGACCGCCTAGTCACATCTGTCGTCCAAATGACTACATCGATGTGATCCTAAGACATAGTAACCCCACACTCTTGTCAGGCAGTAGACAAACTGAAACAGCAACGGCACTCTTTTAACCGCTAGACTCGACGGGATAGGCCATTTAGACTGCAGAGTGTGCAAGTCTCACAGTCCGCGTGCGTGTGTCGATTGCGCGATATGGCACCAAGTCGCTGTGTGATGCAACGCGTGCCAGAAAGAGTGTCAGAAACAGGGCTGTAAGACGGATGGCGGATGGCGTGCTTTGGCGCGAGATTGCGCGGCGCGGGAGCTTTCACGCGCCGGCAGCTTGATCGACTTCGACCAAGACACAGACGAAATCGACAAACAAGAGCAAGACTGAAAAGAGAAAGGACCTCGGAGAAAACATCATATCGCGATTTCAGGCAGGGTAGCAGGGACCGTGGCACGTCAAGAAGTCGGTGAATCCAGCACCTGCAGTCCGGCGCCGTATGGTCTTGCCCAGTCGCCAAAACAGCTGAATCCTTGTGAGGTAGGATAAATTCTCCAGCTCTGAGCATGCACCCTCATCGCAATGGTCTGCGGGTAGTCTCGAACATCTGCGACCATATAAAAGGCAAGATTCGAAGTTGTTGACAGTGCCTTGTTGCTGGTCAAACGATCATTGTCGGATCTCGGCATACGGACAAGTGCTAGTTCTATCCCGGCCTTGTGTCGCTGACGACAGTCCCGCCCCCGTTTCCGGAGGGGTATAGCTTCCAGGTTGTCATTCAGACAAAAGGTACCCCTCGTCGTCAGAGCACTGTTGAAATCCCGCCAGGTGGCACCGGATACACGCAGTATTCCACTTCAAGGTGTTCCTTGGTGTACTACTGCTGTGGCAAGCTGCACCTGCGCGCAACGCAGGTGTATTACTATGTGCAATATGGTGCATGCGCGCGAGGCAATACTGCGCGCGGGTGAAGTCTCCACAAGGTAGGTGTAGTTCTATACCCACTGTTAGACCTGCTTGCACGGGTGTTGCACCCAGTACCGCACTTGCCTTGCGCGAGGTCATGCTGCCAGCGCTGCACTTGCCTCGCGCCGTATTTGCGACTAGTATTGCACTTGGAGTGGTGTGGCCGTGTTTTCTGAAGTGCGACACTAACCTTTATCTCAAGGGGAGTTGTCTATATCGAACTCTAGTTGGCCAAACAGGGAAGCAAACGCAAGCCTTCATAGAAGCAACTAAGGCCCGTTTTTAACATAAATGGGACCATGGCGCAGTTGGCTAGCGCGCAGGTCTCATATTCTATATGATCGAGTCGAAAATAACGGCCCGAGTAATCCTGAGGTCGGGAGTTCGAGCCTCCCTGGTCCCATTACTTTTGCCTTTCTGCTAAGTTTCTTTTGGTCATATCGCCTTGTTTTCGCATCTGGAGATGTGCTTGAGCAATTCAAGAGTTTTTTTGATACTGATTGCGGCCTGTTTGCTCGCTCTTTCAAGAGCCGTAAATTAACTTAGAAACTTGGTGGGAAGATGAGTAATGGTGGGGCTGCTGTTCGAGACGCCTATAAAAATTGTCTTACAGTGGGCAAGAAAGCATATGCGTGGGTGGTGATAGATAAGGTAGCCAGATTGATTGATGTCGAGGAGCTTCCGTTAGACTACAAGTAATCCAATTCAATTTGGCCCAGTAAGACTAGTGTCTGGGCTATCCTTAACATGATTTCAAGACCTAACACGACCTTTTCTTTCCCTGATCCAGCAGAGATAACGTTGTGTTACTAGGTGAATAATTACCTAAATATTCTGCTAAGTCTGATCATTGTCATTCAAAGGGTTTGTTGTTTTCATCTATCTGCATTCGTCATTTCTCCAGGTGCCCACGCTAGCACTGTATAAACAGGTGATGTCAAGCACCAAAGATTTATCACGCCTCCGCAGTCTTCTCCTCCAAAACGACAACCGGCTCGAACAAGAGCGCCCTCAGCTCCCCGAAGCCCTTCAGTATAGTGACGGACTCCTCCGTCGTCCACTGCTTGCGCGTCTCCTCGCCGAGCTGGCCCTGTAACATGGCCGAGTACAGCTCGGGGCCGTGATGGCCGTGGAAGACCAGGTTCGGGCGCGTGGCCGTCACGCGGAGCCCCATCTTGCCCAAAGTGGAGTGGACCTGCTCTGAGGCAAACGTGCCGCCCTGGATGCCGTAGCTGACGACCAGCGCCGGCTTGCCGTCCCACTCGTTCTTGAGGTAGTCGATGGCGTTCTTGGTCCCGCCCGCCACGCCGTAGTTGTACTCGGGTATGACGAGAACGTAGGCATCGTGCTTCTTGATGGCCTCGCTCCAGGCTTTGCTGTGCTCGTGCGAGAAGGATGCCTTCTCGGGCACCATGGCCGGGATGACGGGCTCGTCGAAGACGGGGAGCTTGAATGTGGCGAGGTCGATGGGTTCGAGGGTGATGTTGGAGCTGGCTTCGGCGTCTTTTTCGATGATCTCTTTGACCACGGCTGCGACCTCGGGGCCGACGCGAGGCGTCCGGGTGCTCATGGTTATGACGGCGACTGACTTGGGAGACGACATGATTCCAGCAGGCTTTGACTTGGACAGGGACGTTTCGGTTACGTGACCGTGGAGTTTGGGTCTTGGATGTTGATGAATGTTGATGGGGAAGGAGAGTATATTGGATTGAGGTCGGAGTCACAAGTGAAAGAGAAAAGCGAAGGTGATATGTCGTGCTTTTATATCGAGATCACCCCGAACTCTGTCCCGCACGGGAACACCTCGAGCGGTCCAAGTCTTATCTCGCCTCCATCACTCAAACATTCCTACATGAGATAAACCATGGTTTCTGATCCAGTGTGAAAAGGAGATTGGTCCGGCCCGCAGAACTTTGATGCCGCACCGCACGTATCCATGCTCAGCGCAATGGTGTCTATCCCAATTTCTAAGCTTCCTAGGCGGCTGTTAAGAGGACGTTCCTTTGACGCCATTTCTCATGGTTCCAGAATGTACGAGACTGGACCGCGCACGACAACCTCGTGTGAAAGGGGTAGCGGCACTAGGGCCGTGGATATAGAGCAATCTATACTTCCCGCGCGGGAGGAGAATCGACGCAGGCACTGATGGGAGGCCGTTGTGGAGACGGAAAGGCGAGCCGAGACATCCGCGCTAAGCTTCCTGCCAGAGGCAAGTCGAGACGATGTCAAGCATTCGCACTTCCCTCTCTTCCAAGACTGATTACTAATCTGTCACATACAGACTCATCGGCCGGTATAATATTGCATACCTTGCTCCCGGGCTATGATTCTCGAGAGCATTCTCCTGCATTCGTGAGGCGCATCAAGACCATCCATGCCGGACGGTGAAGCCAGATCGGCCCGCGACCGCTGCTTCGTAGGCACGAAATGGCGACCTGTGTGCATTGCTGGCTTGCAAAATGCCCAGATCATCTTCACATACAATAAGTATCCAAGGACAATCACACGGAAATTGCTTTCCATATTTTGGCGCCTTCTAGGGAGACATCGGATGCCGGTGCGAGTTAAAAATTGGATTTTAAGTCCAAAATCTGTAGTAGCAAAGAACGCCAATCCTTGAGAAGAAGCATATAGAGTAGATTCAGACAAAGCAGGTCTATAGCGGGACGGCTACATTACTTATCAGTATGAGCCCGATGGATTTTTCCACCGCAGATCAAGCACAGCTGTAGTTCTATGCCGTAAATCGTTTACAGTATCTCTAAAGAGAACAACAATCGTTGATCAAACGTTGACATGACATATTACAATACGGACCAGGACTCGGCTACCCTCTGGTCGGTATTCTCTATGTCTGATCAGTGAGAAACGAAGGGTGCATAATCTCCAGCGAGAGTTTGTTGACGGAGGCAAGCCAAACGTAATAGGAAGGAATTCAACAACAGGATAGAGAAGACACTTAAAAGTCAAGCGAGTAGTCAAAGACAGAAACTGGCTGAAGCTCGGCATCATATGGCTCTTCAAAAACTCAGATAACAAAAGAGGAAAGACGAAAAGAAGAAAGATAAAGATAAGAAAGAATGAGTATATTTATAGCTCAGCACGTAATAGCTACCGTTTTGCGCGAATGTAGGAGACATTAGAGGGCTTTAAGGAAAGATGCCTTAGCAGTCGTTAAGGCGACAGTATTACTTGCCTACGCTGGCGTGAGAGCTTGTGCAGTGGCTTATACGGATCGGTCTCGGTCTATAAAGTTCTTCCAAGTTACTTCAATCTTCTCGAGCTGACAGGGAGAAGGGTAGTATTGGCGCGTCGTCTCCACGATGGTGGAGAAGGCAGCACCATAGTCTGTCCGCTCTGCAAGATTGGCTATCTTGTCTATAAATACGCGGCCATTTACTAAGCTGTCACCATATGCTCGTGTACAACGCTACCCAGTTTGCTCGAATTTCTCAAATAGACTATACAGAAGCTAAACGCAAAACCTAGAAGCCTGACCCTTAACGCCTTGGGCTGAGAAAGAAGCCTAGTCAGTTGCTCCGGATGCTCCTAATCCATGAGTCCGGAGAGCTGCTCGATATCATCATCACCGAAGAGGTATGAGTCCGTGCCGATGTCCTGAAAACTGTCCATCTCATCTTCTTCCTGTACCTCGTACACTTGGGGGCCATCCCACGCACTGCCTTCCAAGATAGACAGCGGCCGGTCGACGCTCGTCTGAAGGCACTCCACGGCCTTACTCGCCAAGATCTGCGAATGCTTGTAGCTGCCCCCGAGGGTGGTGCCGACAATGCGAACAAGCTCAACCAGGTAGTCCCTCGGACCGACTTCCAGTGTCGAAGGCTGGATGAAGCTTGGTTCGAGGCAGAGCACGTCCGCGAGGGAACACCCGATATCGAAGACCTTCTCCAGGATGCCGACACCATTGGCCTCGAACGCCTTCAGCGGCAGGAGCCGCGACACGAGAACGACATCGCGGGCAATCTTGACCGGGTACCGCAAGGACATGCTCTCCTCGTTGCTCGAGCTCGACAGTAGGGTCCTTGAGACACAGAGTTGCCACACCATGGTCTTGAGCCACTCCCTCGACACGAGCAGGTCCGCCAGCTGGCTCTCGGTGCAGCCGGCGGTGCTGGGCAGGGAGTACGCGAGGACGTTCTGCAACCTGACGAGGAACTCGGCCGACGTAGCGTTTGTCATGGACGACTGGTTCCAGATGACAAAGAAGTCGTTGTCGAAGTGCTGGAATAGCGAGACGAGGTCAAGGAAGCCTGGGAGGATGTGTCTCTCGGCCCCGGAATCCACGGCGGGCAGTTCGATGCTCTTCCGGAGGGTCAGCGCCCTGTGGCGCTGGAGAGCATAGGCTCGCTCGGTGATGAAGAGAACCCAGAACATGCGGCGCGAATAGACGGAGAGGACAGCATCGTCGGCAAGGGGGGATGATGAGTAGGTGCTTTCTTCGTCGAGGCGGAGTAGCTGGAGGAGCGTGATGGCTTCGCGGAGGTAAAACCACGCTGAGTTGTCGTTTCCGAGACAGAAGAAAGCGGAGAACAAGAAGAAGGATGTCTGCACCGTCGTGAGAGACGGGCATTCAGTGTAGTTGCAAAATTGTCTGGCGCGAATAGTTTCAGAGATGAGAAACTCGGCACTGGGCAAAGCGGGCGCTGCGGCAGACTCCGACCTTTCGGAGCCGGAGTCAGGGGTTGAGCGCGATGACGATGGTGACAGGGGAGATACTGATACGTGCGGGGATGGCGACAGGATCTCCGGTGAGATGACTATCACAGCGCAGCAGGCGGTCAAGAGACCGTACAGCTCAGGCGAGGATGCAAGATGTGGTAAGGCGGCCTCCGTTTGTTGGCGATGCAGGACCGGCGTGATGGGATACTTGTGCTTGAAGAAGGCATCCAGGCACATGGCGATGAACTCGGTCTGTACAGTGACCGACGGCCGGAACCCGAAGTCCTCGACGGGGATGCTGCGCTGCGGAGAATTAGCCGGAGGGGCGACAGGAGGAGACACATCCCGACGGAGGCCGGGGTCGACGGACCGGGGCTCATGCGAAGACCGCGGAGCAGTAGACAGTCGCCGGGGCCCTTTGGGACCCGTCTTTTTATGCACAGCGAGATAAGTGCATGGCAAAGCAGCCCCTGTGCAATTGGCGCAAGGCCGAGTGCCGTCACAGCGGATCTTACGGGAGCGGCAGCAATCGCATGCCTGTCTCACTTTGCCTCCACTTCTCCCTGGCGACGGAAGGATCCTGGATGACATGGTCGGCCATGGCCGCACAGCCGCAATTATGGCATCAGATGAGGTCCTATGAGGCACTGTCAGTTTCCAGTGAGGCAGGAAGGACGTAATCAGCAAGAAGAAAAAACAATTGCATGGAATGCAAGAGAGGGG